ATAGAGTTTTCCCCTCAAATGGCTGTGGCCCCGCCCCCAGCGTGCCCGGCGTCATCATGTCACCTCCGGCTGACGTGCACACCGGGGTGGGGTTTCCCCCGGGGCCCGATTCCGCGGTGGCGGAAATCGGGCCTCCAAAGCGGGAGGAAATCTGCCCCCCCAGGGGGACTTGGCACTGCCCTATTTATTAAAGAAAAAACTTGTTTTTAAAATGTCAGCTGGTAGATAATTGGGTGCTTTCACACATGCTAAATGCATTGTCAGTCCACTTTGCAACTGGGTTTTACTGTGTGAAATGACCAAGTCCACTTGCAAATGGTCACTGAAGTAAACGGAAACTGCATTTTTTAAGCATGTGTGAAAGCCCACCAAAATGATGAAGGTCTGAGCATGCGCAGTTCGGCCAGGAGCCGGGGATGCGCCGGTGGAAGAACGCGCCCGCGATCCCACAGCCGGCTTTGATGCGGCCTTTCGGAAAGAACCACCTCGGTAGGTGGTTCTTTTTTTGCTACGGGTTATCGTCGGAAGGGCCGGATCGGGGACGGGTGCGCAACGCTTCCCAGATGTTGCGGTGGGATCGCGCACGTTTGCTCCGCCCCCGATCCGTCCCTCTCCCAACCCAAATCCTCTCGTGTGACGGGGCCTGAAAGTAGCTTCTGGTTGCAGCCAGATCACTTCTTCCACTCACGTCTCTTCGCCCCCTCCCCCTTTTAAAATCAGTTTTATAAAGGCATTTTAAACAGTAGCCAACAAACACATTCTGTAAACTAAATGTCGCTTGAGAAACTTCCCCGCTGACACCCAGGAGACTGCTATAAATTTGGCCGGAACTCAAGTTAGCTTCCCACACACATGCAGTTGTTGGCATTCCCCCCCCCACCCCCCAGTTGCTGGCATTTTGCCTCAAGAGCATGAAAAGACTGCTATCCTGTAGGTGGATGAGAGCGGGGGTCCAGACTATCCATTCGGCCCACCCCTGTCTATCATCCAGAATTCCTGGCTCTTCGTCTCTTTGCCTCACAGACCAGTGATCTGGAAAAGAAAGCGGGAGGCCATCTCCTTGCTGCCACCGCCTTAAGAGCTCCCTTGTGCAGGAAGGGCAGGATCGTAGACAGGGTCTGAGGGTGACGTCTCTTCCCCTCTTAACTGAGGTCACAACCTGCTTTTTCTCAGGGAAAAGATGGGTGTGGGGTCCGAACCATCGATCCTGAAGGAAAACAACCAGGGTGGCTTCTCCCAAGATTTCCAGTCCTTTCATCTCTGCTGTTCTCCTCCCCCCCCCTCCTTTTCTCTCCTTTCACGCCAAAAGCTATATATCACGGCAAGATTACAATACCGTTGCTAGATTTAATTCAGCAGTTCCTGGACGGCAGCCTGTTCTTCCTTCTGAGGGTCTCGACAGTAAATTGCTAATGTAGAATCCTCCACCATTACCTCCCATCTGACCTAAACTCCGAGTAAATGATAACATGGATGGTATCCGTCTATTTAACAACAACAACAATTCTTTTTTGTTGTTGTTGTTGTGTGTTTTTTTATTAAACGGGCTTTTAGTAGCTGTCCTTCGTCCGTTTTAGCTCCTGCCCCGCTTGGTTTCCTCAGCATCAGGTTGCAAAGGCAAAGACTTTGTTTGGTTTGGGAGGCTAATCAAGTTGACAGGCCTCAAATGACAGAGTGGAATTCCAGCTTCCTGAAAGGCCGAGTCAATTGCTGCCGCCTCCTTGGGCGCTTTTTGCTGCCCTCACACAGGGCTATTGTTCCAACGGCTGCACTCTGACCAGGAATTCCTCTAATTATAGAGGGGATCTTCCTTTGTAACAGCTCATAGGAAGTACTTTGCAGAGACGGCCTGTCGATGTGTCTCAAAGACATTCCTCCTCGCCTTTTTTCGTCCGGCAGTCGTCAGACAAGTTTTGCTCTCCAAATGTCCCGCTCCTGCTGCTCAGCCCTCACCAGAAGAGCAAACAAGTTATTTGTGTGATTGCAGACTTGCACCCTGGTTTTTCCCCCTCCCCAGTGGGGACTGGAAACAGCTTGCAATGTTATATAAGTGTTATTCCGACACTTAGGTTTCTGAAGAAGTGTGCATGCCCATTAACGCTAATGCTCCCTCTAAGCTGTGGAGTCTTGTGAGCAAAAATTCCACTTTGTGAGCTACTGGCGTTAAAGTTGTGAGCCAGCAATTTGGCTGCTGCATAAATCAGTTTGCTCTGGAGCCATCCCTTCCTGAGCGAAGATAAAAATGTGTGAGCCGGAGGCTAAAAAACTGTGAGCTAGCTCCCCCTGACTCAGCTTAGAGGGAACACTGCTTACAATGTTGTTCTCCCTTCTTCTGTTTTACTCTCACAACAAACCTGTGAGTTAGGCTAGGCTGATAGTGTGTGACTGGCCCAGCAAGCTTCCATGACAACGAGGGGATTCAAACCTGCGTCTCCCAGACCCTAGTCTGACACTCTAACCATTAAGCCGTGCTGCATAGTCCAGATCCAGAAGCCACATCCATGCCTTAAGCTGTTGTATTTAACAGCCCGCCAAGACTATTTGGGCTTCTAGATTATTATTTTCTGTCCCCCAGGAGTGATGCTTCTCAGTTCGTATGCTCACAGCCAAGAACTGCAACTACGGTTAAACCTTAGTTTTACAGGCTCTGTCTGGCAAACAGCAGGAGACCAGGGAGATGGTGAGATAGATGACAGCTGTTGGCAGGATGTCTAGAAGAAGAAGAATAGAAGAAGAGATTGGATTTATACCCTGTCCTTCACTTGGAGTCCCAGAGCGGTTTACAAACTCCTTTCCCTTCCCCTCCCCACAACAGACACCCTGTGAGCAGTGTTCCCTCTAAGCTGAGTTAGTGTGAGCTAGCTCACAGTTTTTTAGCCTCCAGCTCATACACTTTTGCCTTAGCTCAGGAAGAATGGCTCCAGAGCAAACTAATTTATGCACTAGCCAAATCGCTTGCTCACAACTTTAATGCCAGTAACTCAAAAAGTAGAATTTTTGCTCACAAGACTCTACAGCTTAGAGGGAACATTGCCTGTGAGGTAGGTGGGGCTGAGAGAGCTCTGAGAGAACTGCTCTTTCAAGGACAGCTCTGACAGAACTATGGCTTGCCCAAGGTCATCCAGCAGCTGCAACAAGTGGAGGAGTGGGGAATCAAACCTGGTTCTCCCAGATTAGACTCGACACAATTTACCACTACACCAAACTGGCTCTACGGTTGCCATGGTGGAGGTGGGGGTCCCCCGCTGCCAGGCCTCACCTCTCTGCCGCCGATCAACTGGCCGGCAGGGGGAACTTACCCCCCCCCCAAAAAAAGGAGGAACAGCCAACGTTTCAGTGACGTGCCTACTTGACTTCAGTGTAAAGTAGGAACTGACGAAGGAATGCTGGGGACATTGAGGCGACACTCTGGTTATTGGGCAAAAACTCTATGGTAGATGCTAATTCTACTATAGATTTTTCCCCAAAAAAACCCCAGAGTGTTGCTCTGGTGGGAGGTCAACAGTTGTCTGACACCATTTATTCATTCATTCATTCATTTATTCATTCAGTTTTTTACCCCGCCCTCCCGGCCGAAGCCGGCTCGGGGCGGCTTACATAAAGACAGGTAATTAGGTACATTAAAAACAAAAGTTGCAATTAAAACAAAATATAAAATCATACTAAAGTGCTAGTAGTTGGTATCCGTTTGACGGTAGCAGCCGATAACCAGCGCACAAAGTTCTCATCTCACAGTCAGCTCTCAGTGTTCGTTTGGAATGTCCTTGCAGGCAGTGTTCCCTTTAAGCTGCGGAGTCTTGTGAGCAAAAATTCTGCTTAGTGAGCTACAGGCATGAAAGTTGTGAGTGAGTGATTTGGCTGCTGCATAAATTAGTTTGCTCTGGAGCCATCCTTCAGGAGCTAAGACAAAAATGTGTGAGCTCAAAGGTAGAAACCTGTGAGCTAGCTCACACTAACTCAGCTTAGAGGGAACACTGCTTGCAGGGCTTGCTGTTCTTTAGGCTGTTGATGGCCATTTCCAGAGTCCAGGGCCAACTGATGTTCTTCACTGGTGGTGGCGGCTAAGGCTACACACACGCTTTCTTAATATCCGAACCAATCCAGACTCTATGCTGTGAGCAAACATATGGTGCCTCTGTTGCGCGGTGCGCATACGGCAGCCTGATGCCAGTAGAAAGTATTAGCCAGCTTCCAGGACTCTTTCAGCCACACCAACCTTTTCAGCCACACTCCAGCAGTCAGCAGTACATCCAGCATATAGTACCACGCCACACAGTTCTTTGTGGTGAACTATATACAGTTTATTCACAGAATATACAGTGCTCCGTCAGGCTGAGTCCCCACTGGGCTGAACCGACACCTCACTGCTCCAGACACCGCCAGGCTGGGCCCATAACCCTGTTGCGCGGTGCGCATACGGCGGCCTGATGCCAGTAGAAAGTATTAGCCAACTTCCAGGACTCTTTCAGCCACACCAACCTTTTCAGCCACACTCCAGCAGTCAGCAGTACATCCAGCATATAGTACCACGCCACACAGTTCTTTGTGGTGAACTATATACAGTTTATTCACAGAATATAGAGTGCTCCGTCAAAGTGCTTCGCCAAACGCCGTGATTCACAAAAGGAATACTTTGGACTGCACTTGTCTACTATTATACATATTTACAACCAATCAGCATTGAGCTGAGTCATGCCTGTGGCCTCACACCATAAACTGGTCTAAACCGGCCAGGACAGGCTTCCAGCAGTCTCACTGCTGTCACTTAGATCATGCAGATCTGACAGTTCATCTGACAGTGTATATTAACAGTCCAACAGCCTCTGTATCATATATTTAGGCTCTCCAACAATTAGATGGGTACAGGTGGATGGCAGAAGGTGACACGTGGTCCACACGTGCATTCACACCAGCAATGCGTGTCTGGCTTGTATACACATCCTCCTGCAAACTCTAGGATTATGTCAGGAAATGAAACCTGTTGCATCTTCTCTAAACAGATGGGTGGCTGGACAGTGGAGCCCTTGCTCGTCCACCTGTGCCAAAGGCATCCAGATCCGGGAAGTGACCTGCGTCTATCAGCTGCAGAATGGCACCTACGTGGCCACCAGAGACCTCTACTGCCTGGGTCCCAAACCAGCACCTCTACAGAGCTGTGAAGGACGCGACTGCCTTTCCATCTGGGAAGCGTCAGAATGGTCAAAGGTAGGCAGGCTCAGGAAAAAGTGCAGAAAAGAGCAACTCGAATGATAAAAGGGTTGGAACACTTTCCCTATGAGGAACGGTTAAGGCGCTTAGGGCTCTTTAGCTTGGAGAAACGATGACTGAGGGGTGACATGATTGAGGTTTATAAGATTATGCATGGGAAAGAGCAGGTAGAGAAAGAGGTACTTTTCTCCCTTTCTCACAATACAAGAACTCGTGGGCACTCCATGAAATTGCTGAGCGGTCGGGTTAGAACGGATAAAAGGAAGTACTTCTTCACCCAAAGAGTGATTAACACTTGGAATTCACTGCCACAGGAAGTGGTGGGTGCTACAAGCATGGACGGCTTCAAAAGGGAATTAGATAAGCATATGGAGCAGAGGTCCATCAGTGGCTATTAGCCACAAGGTATAGATAGGGACTCTGGGGCAAGTGATGCTCTGTCTTCTTGGTGCTTGGGGGGGGTAACAGTGGGAGGGCTTCTAATGTCCTGGCCCCACTGGTGGACCTCCTGATGGCACCTGGTATTTCTGACCACTGTGTGATACAGAGTGTTGGACTGGATGGGCCTTTGGCCTGATCCAACATTGGCGTCTCTTATGTTCTTATGTTCGTACCTGATTTTATAAAAGAAAATTCTAACAGCACATCTTAAAACTGCTCTGTTTGCCAGGATTTAGCAGAAATCACCGTCGAATGGACTGAGAATTGGGTGTCTTCATGTGGTCCCAAGTCAGGTTCCTAAAATCTAGTTCCAGAACTGAGGGATGTAGGAAATACGGGGTGGACACAAACAGGAAAAACGGGGGTCCGTGGAGGTTCGTGGTTTGGGGTTTTCATGAACCATGAACTTCCACGAACGTCTTAATTGCACAAACTGGTTTGTGGTTTGGGAAGTTCTTGGGGCCACAGCCCCACCTGGAAGTGAGCCCCAAAGGCGTTTAAATGCCTTCAGTGTTTATTTCCGGTTGGAGGCATGGCTGCACTATGACTTGGAAGTGGGCTCCCAAAGGCCTTTCTTGGCCTTCAGAGCTCACTCGAGCTGCGGCCCCCCTGAAAGTGAGCCCCAAAGGCATTTAAATGCCTTTGGAGCCCCACCTCTGGGTTTGTTCGACGGAGCTCACTCTTGGAGCTCACTTGGGCCGGCCTAACCTGGAGGTGGGCTCTGAAGGTGTGGGCCATGGGCTGGTGGTGGGCTCCAACGACATTTTTTTTAACAATATATTTATTGGATTTTATGGTATAAGCCTATATCATAGATATACACCAGAACATCAACAAGACTACATACAAAAATACTATGAGAGCATTTATCATTTCCAACAACACAGAATAGTAAATATATCAAACCTGCCATAGACACTCTTGTTCTTATCCTTAACCTTCATATCAAATCTGTGTTGAATAAAGGCATCCACTTCTATTGCCTTCCTACTTCCTATAAGATTTTTATACTGTCTTTTCCAAACTGCGCTGGAAATTTCTATCAGCAGTGTATAACTTTCCTACTGACTTGTTACACTTCTTAATCGCTCTCCGCCATCCTCCAGTAGTCTGTTAACTCGTTATTTCTAATATAGGAACATACTTGAATATTTAAATGCCTTCACAGCTCCCTTCCAGTTGGGCTGCTGGACCTGCAGGTAAGCTCCGAAGGTATTTAAAAGCCTTCGGAGCCTGCACGAATCATTCCGTGAACCTCTATGAAGAAACATGGAGGTTCGCGTGCTGGATCGTGGGAGACACGTTCTCCTGAACCCCTGGTTCACAAGCCACAAACCAGCCTGGTTCATGTTCGAACTGGGGCTCATTTAATGGTCCGTGCCCATCCCTAGTCTAGAGCTAGCCTAAGGTAATTTTCAGCCACAGGCATCCACCCCACATGATCTAAGAGGGTGTGTCCCAGGATTCTCTTCAGGCCAACTGTTTCACATAAATAAGGCCATCCAGCAAGTAAGAAACTTGGCCCCAGTGTTAAATGGAGGAGAAGAGAACAACATCATTTGCTTTGTGTCCCCACTGGGGAGAAAGGTGGGGTATAAATGAAGTTAAATAAATAATTTTTTAAAAAACTTTGCCACAGTATTTGAGGAAGCAAAAGCTAATAGTCCCAAGGCACAAAATATGGTGACTTTCTAACAGTTGGTTGCCAAGTGACGAGGACCTAAGAAAATTTTTTTTGCTGTACTAAAAGTTAGATGTCTTCATGATCCGTGGACTTCATTTCTATGAACAATGATCCGTATGCACCTGCTGATGTGACCTTGGGTCAGTCACAAGCTCCGGCACAGCTGTCCTTGAAAAAGGGCAGTTTCTGTCAGAGCTCTCTCAGCCCCACCTACCTCACAGGGTGTCTGTTGTGGGGAGTGGAAGGGAAAGGAGTTTGTAAGCCGCTCTGAGACTCTAAGTGAAGGGCGGGGTATAAATCCAATCTCTTCTCTTCTTCTTCATTGTCACATGAACTATTTCTCGTTGCCCACCAACACCCACAAAGTTGAAAAATGTGTGAAATGTAATGTTCTGGGGCCTTTGCAGGTGGGGTTCCCCCCCCCCCCGGCCAGCTTGCTGCTGGTGGGGAGGAGCCCGCAAAGCAGGGGACCCCCCGCCCGGACCGGGAGGCTGGCAACCCTGTGTTCTCCATCCCCCGTGTCCTTTAGAGAAAGGGCACAGCAAGCTCCCAACCTTGAGAAGCCGCTCTTGAATCCCACCCTGCCTGCAACTTGGAAGGACTCCCACCCAGTAGCCTTCAGAATACCATTCTTGCTTGCTATAAAATGCTACTTTCCTGAAAGGGAGAGAGGGAGAGACTTATGCAATCAGCTGCAGTCGATTTAAATGGAAGTCTTCACGGATTCTGTATGTGTGTGTGTGTGTGTTTGTGTGTGTGAGAGAGAGAGAGAAGAAGCCACTTTGGAGTCGCTGAGAAGTATTTCAAGGCACATCCGTTTTCTCGGCCAGCTCATAAACACTTGTCATTCATGTCCTTAACAGGGTCACCAGGTCATGACTGCTGGGATGGTGTTTTTTCTTTTCTTTTCTTTTCTTTTTGGTAACGACAGTTAGACAGGCATGCTGAGATCTGCCTATTCGTTGTAACTCACACCGCGCCCAGACTTGTCTCCATTCTGGACCCCCCTTAAAGAGGCTTCTTGGGAGCATTTTCAAAAGTTTCCACAGAGTATCTCATATCTCCAACTTATTCATTCCGCTTCCAGTCGGCTGCCTCCTCTGCACTGATCCCTCGATGGGTGGAGAAATTTCCGGCCCAGGGGCAGGGCTCTGGCTAGCTGGCAGAGGGCAGTCCCCCTGACCTCGGTGGGGCCAGGCTGGCCTGGTCTTGTCCAGTCTTGGAAGCTAAGCAGAGTCAACCCTGGTTAGTACTCGGATGGGAGACCACCAGGGAAGTCCAGGGTTGATACGCAGAGGCAAGCACTGGCAAACCACCTCTGTGACTTGGTGGCACTCAGGAGTCATTTCCTGCGGGAGCGCACAGAAGCGGAGCTCCGGCAGTAAGGAGCCCAGGAGGCAGGCACATGCAACAAGCCCCGCCCCCTGCTCCCAAGCAGCCCTCAGTCGGGCCACGAGGAGCAAGAAGCAGCCAGGTAACTTGCAGAGCCCCCCCCCCAGCCCGCCTTCGGGTACAAGCTCTCCCTCCTCTGCGAGGACAGATCTGCATGTCCCCCCCCCCAATAGCTAACAATCCAAAACAGTCCAGTGGAGCCTGAGTGGTGGGTGTTGCCTTGTGACACACTTCCGTTGATGTAAGGGGGCGTGGCATATGCAAATGAGTTATGCTAATGAGTTATGCTAATGAGCTCCTGCACCTCTTTTTCTACGAAATGACCCCCTGGTGGCACTTAATTATCACTTGGACCTGGATGACCCAAGCCAGCCCGCTCTTGTCAGATCTCAGAAGCTAAGCAAAGTTGGCCCTGTTTAGTACTTGGAGGGGAGGCCACCAAGGAAGTCCAGGGTTGCTATGCAGAGGCAGGCAAGGGCAACGCCACCTCCGTTCGTCTCTTGCCTAGAAAACCCTATGCAGTGGCCATAAGTCAGCCGTGTCCTAAGTGCACTTTCCACCACCAGAGGGGCAGGTTCATGAACACTTTGGTCACTGTCGATATGATACTTATCCTTACCAATGGAGGGTGGGGAGAGGGGCATTTCTGGGAAAACGGTCAAAAGAGTTCTAGTTAGGAAGCATTGGCCTGCACGCACACACACACCCCGGTGAGCTCTGCATGTTCCTAATTGGTGGTTGTCCGCATGACCAGCCTGGGAAACATCATGCCCTTGCTCAGGGGTCGTTTCGTAGAAAAAGAGCTAGGGGAACTCATTAGCATAACTCATTAGCATATGCCACACCCCCTGACATCACCGGAAGTCTGTCATAAGGCCACACACCCTGCCCCCAACGGTCCGGGCCGCCGTCGGCCTTGCAGCTCAACTGCCGAGCCCCATGAGGGGCCCGGCGGTGGACCTGCAAGGCCGGCGGGAGTGCGAGGAAGCCCCGCGAAGGCCCTCCCTGGCCCCAGGCAGGCAGGGGTGGGGAGAGGCAGGGAGGAAGCAACTTACCCTCCCTCTTCTCCTGCCTCCTCCTGGCTGAATGAGGGCCGGAAGCGGGGCGGCCGGAAGCAGGGGGCGGGGCTTCGTCATGTGCCCCCCCGTACCTCACCCGGGGGAACTGCGATCCCCCCGAAATGACCTCTGCCCTTGCTCAAAATGACCTCCATTTGCCCTGTGATGTCAACACAACCAAATCTGATTGGTTGTATAGTGTCAGGATGCCACAACGTTCACAAAGTCATTCCCAGTCGGCTGGTATCAGTTGTCAGTTTGGCCCACCGTCCCATACCCCAGATTGCTGTAGGGAGGTTTGGTTTTGGTGACCGTCCAGAGAAAGAGAGCCAGTTTGGTGTAGTGGTTAAGTGCGTGGACTCTAACCTGGGAGAATCGGGTTTGATTCCCCGCTCCTCCACACAAAGCTGCTGGATGACCTTGGACAAGCCATAGTTCTGTCACAGCTGTTCTTGAAAGAGCTCTCTCAGCCCCACCTACCTCACAGGGTTTCTGTTGTGGGGAGGGGAAGGGAAAGGAGGTTGTAAGCCGCTCGGAGACTCCGAGTGAAGGGCGGGGTATAAATCCAATCTCTTCTTCTCTTCTTCTACTGAGGATCAACTGATGGGATCTAGCACCTTTGTCACTTAGAACTTGGTTAAGTGGAGAATCAGTTGAGGAGCATACTCGTATCTGGTGTTACACCCGGAGCCTCTGAGATTCAGCAAGCATTTCGCATCCTCTTGTATTAAAAGTTCATAACTTTTTGCATTCATTTCCATTTATAATTGATTTACTACAATGACTCAAATTAGTTCAAAGCAGCCTGTCACATTTTATGCGAATCTCAGCTATGCTTAATCTTAATTCTCCATCCAAAATAATATTAAATAACTCTGTGATTTAGGATCAGTGGCCCTGAAGTGAAGACAACAGTCTTCCAGTCAGGGCTCTTTTTGTAGAAAAAGCCCAGCAGGAACTCATTAGCATTAGAGGCCACACCCAACAGCAGAAACCCATTAGCATATTAGGCCACACCCCTGCCAGCACAGCTCAATAGCACATTAGGCTGCACCCCCATGTTACCAGAAGTGTGGTCATCCACCCACACCCACCTTTTGCTTCTTATTCTGTTTACCTTGTTTGTTGTCAAAACCCAGGGGGTTTTTTGTAGCAGGAACTCCTTTGCATGTTAGGCCACACACCCCTAATGTAGCCAATCCTAATGAGTTTCTGCGGTTGGGTGTGGCCTGTTATACTAATGAGTTCCTGCTGGGCGTGGCCAACTTGGGAGCCAGCTGGAACTCCGTTCCTGTGCGTTCCTGCACAAAAATAACCCTGGTCTTCCTGGTAGCTGAAACACAGTGGTTTATTGACAATATCAGGGAATAGCCACCCTGGCCTCACCCGTCCCCTCCACTGGATACTATCAATCAATCCAGTGTCGTAGAATAGATTACTTCTGGACTAGGATCTGTAAAACCCAGGTTTGAATCCCCACTCTGCCGTGGAAGCTTGCTGGATGAACTTTGGGCCACTCTCAGCCGAACCTACTTCACAGGATTGTTGTGAGGATAACATGGGAGGAGAGGAGAGCTATGTGAGCCATGTCGATTCCCCATTGGGAAGAAAGCCAGGGTATAAATGAAGTAATAAATACCCAGGGGTCATTTCGTAGAAAAAGAGGTGCAGGGGCTCATTAGCATAACATTAGCATAACTTATTTGCATATGCCACACCCCCTGACCTCACCGGAAGTGTGTCAGAAGGCAACACCCACCGCTCAGGCTCCACTGGACTCATTTGGATTGCTAGCTATTGGGGGGGGGACGTGCAGATCTGTCCTCGCAGAGGAGGGAGAGCTTGTACCTGGATAAAACTTGGTCTTAAAGGTGCCACTGGACTGTTTTGGACCAGGGCCCGGGGGGGGGGGCTCTGCAACTTACCTGGCTGCTTCTTGCTCTGAGGGCTGCTGGGAGCAGGGGGGGGGGCTGTTTGCATGTGCCCGCCCCCTGGGCTCTTTACTGTCGGAGCTCCACTCCTGTGCGCTCCTGCAGGAAATGACCCCTGTAAATACCATACTACTCTATTTCTTACCCATTTTTTAAAATCAGATTATATAACAGTAATGAATCCAGTTTATATCAAACACCAATGCCCTTAACTACACTTAATCTTAGCCAAAAGGCTGAGACGTGACAACAGCTTTACCATTTTTTCATAAATCTGAGGAAGAGTTTTCTGAGACAGAAAAGTAGAACCCAATGCAATAGCATTGCAATGACACATTGAAGGAAGTCGTGCCGTCAAAGCAATATTATATTATGTCAGCTCAATTTTAAACCCGTTGGTATTGTCCGATGAATTATTTTTGCAATGTTTTCTTTCCTTTGTTCAGTGCTTGGTAATTGTTGGTTCTAGGTTTACTTAAACATGTACCATACCATACACTGTATGCTTGTTATGGTAAAATAATTTTTTTAAAAGGTTTCCCTTGCTCGGAAGCCAGTCGAATCCCACTCTAGGGTTGCGGTGCTCATCTCCGTTTCCAAGCCAAAAAGCCAGCGCTGTCCGAAGACATTTCCATGGTCATGTGGCCGGCATGACTAAATGCCAAGGCACACGGAACGCTGTTACCTTCCCACCGAAGCGGTACCTATTTATCTACTTGCAATTCTAAAAAAAAAGTAGGGCCCTCTAAAAGGGCAATTGCTTATGCAAGCAGATGGCCCCAGGTGTTCTGTATCTCTTGTTAAAACCTCCCCTGTCACAAGGCTTGGGAAAGGATGGGCTCAGCCTGTCATGCTAGACAGCACCTGGTCTAGTAGATGGTATTATTCTAGGGCTAATATTCCGGCCCAGCATAAGGCAGCTTCGTATGTTTCTGAACAAATCGAAGAGTGCTTCAGAAGCCTTAGATGCTGGCGGAGAGAGAGATGCTTTTGTTCAGTTTTCCTCTCTGCTATAATTGGCACCCACTGATCTTGCCCGTCGCTTTGCAGTGTTCATCAGACTGTGGACGTGGGATACAGAAGCGAACCGTCACATGCACCAATTCACAAGGGAAGTGTGACGCAGCCACCAGGCCGAGGGATGAGGAAGATTGCGAGGATCACACGGGCTGTTACGAGTGGAAGACGGGGGACTGGTCCAAGGTATGGCAATACTCTGAGCCCCCCAACAAGGTGGGGCTTAGGCTTTTCAGTGGCTCTCTGGACATTGCTAGCTCCTGTATTTACATCATGAGTGATATACACAGTAATCGCTATCAAGGATCCAAAGCTTTTGCTTTGTCGTGCAAACAGCTTTAAGCCAGAAGAACATTGTTCCTGTTCTGTGAACGAAGGGAAATCCATGGCGAACCACAGAGGCGTGCTAATGAAAGGTGAATTTGGCTCTGTTAGAAGCAAGGGGCTGCAAGGAAAGATGGAACGTTCAACTGGTGACCAGATGTGAGAATTATGGATGAAGTGTTTTGATGGAAACAGGGTGATGCCTCCATGGCGGCTTCTTGATGGCTTTCGAAATCTTGGTTTTCTGCAGTTCTCACCAATGCTCCCTCTAAGCTGTGGAGTCTTGTGAGCAAAAATTCTGCTTTGTGAGCCACTGGCATCAAGGTTGTGAGTGAGCTATTTGGCTGCTGCATAAATCAGTTTGCTCTGGAGCCCCATCCTTCCTGAGCCAAGACAAAAATCTGTGAGCTGGAGACTAAAAAACTGTGAGCTAGCTCACACTAACTCAGCTTAGAGGGAACACTGGTTCCCACCTGTCCCCCACCACCTAGCCAAGGAGGGGATAAGGGGATAGGGTTCCCAGGTCCCACAGGGGTTTTCCCCACTTTTCAGGGCTCCAATCGACTGCCAGCCCTACCCGTGAACAGGACATTGCCGGGCAACGTCCCTGACTTGGTGATGTCACCCGGAAGTGACATCATCGCATCCCAATGTTGGGGGGGTGATGCTCTCTAGTTTTGGGGCAAGCTCTGTGGTTTTGAAGGCAAAAAAACCACAGAGTTTTGTCCAAAAACCAGAGCGTCACCCCCCGATGTCGGTGATGTGATGACATAACAAAGCGCATGTGGCAGAAGACCTCAGGAAGGACCCATGAGCCCCCCACCGGATGCCAAGTAGGACCTGGCAACCCTGTAAGGGGAACATGCTGTCAAGTCACAGACAACTCAGGGCACCTACATCCACGAGGCCTTCCCGGCAAACAGAGGTGGCTTGCCCTTACCTTCCTTGGCATAGCAACCTTCATCTTCCTTGGTGGTCTCCCATCCAAATACTAACTGTGGCCAACCCTGCTTAGCTCCCAAGCCCTGACAGGCCCAGTCTAAGCTGGGCTACTTGGGCTGCTAAGTGGGGGATGTTCTTCCTCAAATTTCTGCCTTGAATAAAGAAAGACTTGGGGAGATGATAAGAAACACAGATCCGATACACTTTCCTTGAACTAGAACTGAATCTGTCCTGTTAGAGCAGGGATTCCCAGATGGCATGCTTACTCTCAAACTGGGCCCAGAGAACCACATTTGTGAACAAGTTAATGAATATGTGCCAGCAGAGGTCTTTTCGTAGAAAAAGAGCTGCAGGAGCTCATTAGCATATGGTATGCTAATGAGCTACTGGGCTATTAGCATATGCCACACCCCTGACATCACCGGAAGTGATGGCAGAAGGGAAAGCAAAAGGAGGGAGGCATCTTCAAAAGCCTCCCCTCCCCTTCCCCAGCTGGGGGGGGTCTCACTACAGTTGGACCACAGGAGGAAAGATGGAAGGAAAGAGAGAGAGTAGAGAGAAGGAAAGAAGGAAGGAAAGAGGGAAAGAAACAGAAGGAAAGAAGGAGGGAAAGAAAGAGAGAAGGGAAGAAGGAGGGAAA